TCAATTCTAAATGGTGAAATTACTAGCGGAATTCCTCCTCTACGGAAACTGTTTGGAATAGCACAGATTCACGAACCCTAGTGAATCACACGGCGCAATAGCTGGGCATCCGTGGCCTTTCAAGCAAAATACTTGCAGGTAGAAGCAAACGAGGTCTGTACAAAAGGGCCGGTCTCGTTGGTGAAAAAGTGGGATGTATACGACCCTATACAGAAAAACAAGATTTTAAGTCAACAGAAATTTGAAAGTTGGTTGGTAAAAAATGAAACCACGATACGCGCCCAAAGTAAGACAGAAGTATTCGTATGAGCTTATCCGAGTTTACTAGTCATGGCTATCACCTTGGGCTTGTCTTTCTACACTTTTACCGCACCAATTGCTCCAGCTTTCTGTTGATTGGACATCAATTTGCTCGGTAAATGCCCCTCGAAATTGTGCGCTTTTGAACGACACACCTAACGATTCCCGCTGCTCCTGCTCCACTATATCGCTTTGCAGTGTTGAACTCAAAGACCCTTCACAAACAAGGAAACCACCATTCACGACTGTCCTGTGTCACTTCCAACACCGGTCTATTCGCTTTTCGTGGTAGTTGTGTTATGCTGGTTAGAATTCAGTTCTCACTCAATTCAAACTGAACTAAACTAAGCTTATCTAAGGTAAAATTTAACTGAACGGAACTGAACTGAGCTGAGCTGAACTGAACTGAACTGAAGTGAATTGAATTGAAATCAGTCAGCTTCATCCAGCTGCTGTCGAGATTGATTTATCTATATGCTTACTCCGTAGCATTTCGGATTTTTAAAATTAGGACTTATTTACATCACCTTCTACCTACCATCGGTCGCCTTAGTGATAACCGGTTATGATGGAAAATAGCTTTCAAGATGTCGAACTAATGCACACCATGTTACGGCATGAACGTCCGCTTTCAGGAAAAGAACGAAGATGCTAGTGATTTCAGCATCACATTTTCGTCTAAAGTTCGTTTACTGGACATTTAACTAAGGGTGGTTTTGGGACTGAGGGTCATCTTACGTGACGCCTTGGGTGAATGCATTGGCCAGTAATGTTTGAATATATTTGCACACCCTTGTTTCCGTGCATCACGAGGTCAACTTGCCTGCTGAATTGTGAAGCAGTGCGTCCGGACTTGATCAAATACTGCCTTGAAACACATGAGCTCATCCCTCTTGGACAAGCCCTTTAACGTTGGCTTATGGTGGGTTGTCACGCTCACGACGATACCACGAAACGTTTCCTTGGCGGTGTGGCCAAGCTGAAAGAAGCAATAATAATAGTTGTGGGGGTTGCACAGCGGCTATAAATGATATGCAGCACCTTGTGTTTAGCACGTGATAATTTGTGTGCTCTTTTCATTCTCATTGATGAACAACATGTTTCGTCGGTAGGTGTAACATGAAATCGACAAAAAATTGCAATCGGTGAAACACTTGTCAGTTGGATTGCTGGGTTTCCGACATCAGGTCTATTATAATCGTTGATCACGATGCAGGCAACAATCAGACACTCGATGTGTTTGATCTACGATTCGCTCGCCCCGCTGTGTTTAAGTAGATTATCCGGTATTCAATAAAATAGGTGCCTATCTGTACATCCGTCTCTATCTTGTTCATACAGTTGCTAAGAATTCAAAAGCTGTTTGTCTGTCTGTCTATCTATCTATCTATCTATCTATCTATCAATCTAATCTATCTATCTATCTATCTATCTAATCTATCTATCTATCTATCTATCTAATCTATCTATCTATCTATCTATCTAATCTATCTATCTATCTATCTATCTAATCTATCTATCTATCTATCTATCTAATCTATCTATCTATCTATCTATCTAATCTATCTATCTATCTATCTATCTAATCTATCTATCTATCTATCTATCTAATCTATCTATCTATCTATCTATCTAATCTATCTATCTATCTATCTATCTACCTATCGATCTACAGATTTGTAGGAAACGACACGGAGTGATTTATACAAGTAACTCTTCTTCCAATCAAAAAACATTTTGATATAATTATTGAGTCAGGTTCTAATTGGCAATCTTCGTCGATGACAAATGGGATATCAGGTGTTTCGGCCACTGAGGTGACAACTTCTTAGACTGTCTTTGGTATGTGAAGTGGTCGCTTGGGTGCTTAAGCATTCAGTGGCGTAAGTAATAACTGTTCCAATAGACAAATCACAATGTCGAATATTCCGCTGTAAACCTACTGCTACCGCACCGTCCTTCCGGTGCATCAGTAGATCATAATGACCTTGAAATTTTCCAACTGGGAGACTTCCCATTGCCTAAAATAAAGAATAAACAGACACCTATCAGTTTGTTATAAACCAATACAACGTCTTGTTCCATACAAAGAGTAAGCTGCACACCATGCGACCGAAGTTTTACAACTTAGTCCTTATGTTTTAGTGTTGAAAAATCCGGTTGATTAGTGAACATCAGTTCCGAAACCGCCTCACAAACATCACTGTATGGCACTAGTATTACCACCCAAGTTTGGTCGTTCAGGACCAAGGCATCCATCGAACCATCACGGAAAACCACATCAAGTGCCACATATTGACCGTCTCCCCGAGTGCAAGCTGTTCAGGTGGAAGTTTCAGTAATCATGTAAATCTTTTCTTCCTCTGAGTTACCTGTAAATGATTCATATAGATTCGACTTTCTTTTGTACCGTAGCACAGAAACGTACTAATCATAAGGTACCCAAAGCCATTGCTTGGTTAACCGGAAAGTAACGCTGGCGAGGCTTGGATATCTAGATGCCTGGAGTAGCAAACTTGCTGAAATTCGTCTGTGGAACCTGAAGTTCCTAATCAAGCATTTTCAACATTGACCGTAAACTATCACGGGTAACAAAATACAACTGTCACCTCGATAAATACACTCCCTTTCATAACAGTTTGACTTTTCACCAGTTACCCAGATGAACCACTCCGTGATATTTTTTGACTCACCATTTCACCGTATTTCATCACGTGACTTAACACCGTCTTCCTTTTCACCTCCTCGTATTGTTGCTTCAGTGTACGCTTTCTTATGTCCTTCTGCGCGCGGGGAAGGAGAGATAATGAAAAAAGGGAGCTATGCGAAGCAGACAGATCAGCTTACGTATTGTTAAGACGAATGCACTGTAGGCAAAACATTGATACTCTCACTGGATTTAAGACAACCGAGGTATACATAGAAGCATACTGCTCGGTAAATTTGTAAGCACTCCGCTGCTCCAGGACGCCATATGTGCACATACAACATATCTCAATGATTTGATGCTCTAAATTTCTGATCACCACCACCAATATCATCATCAGCAGCAGCATCGACAGCAAACACGGAGGAAAAGACTGATGATTCTCGGGCCTACAAGCAGTCCTAATTATTTGTAGTCGAAAAGGAAAGGATAGTGGAACAGGAGGGAAAACCTAGGACTAGCCTACAGCATACACCCGAGATACATACACATCTTAGACCTATTTGGACAATCTCGATAAAAACTGACAGCATGAATTCCACTGACATTTCAACAGATGTATTTAGACGAAGGCGCTCAGGGGATCCACCACCATCATCAACATCATCATAAGCATCATCATCGTTATCAGCATCATCAACATCATCACTTTCAACATCCGTATTCAACATTGACGCTTCCCTGCGTGCTTTCAAAATCCATTCAGTGCCCTAATTAGACGGAAGGAATAGAAATATATTGAAGAGAGACTTAGTGCTGGCCTACCACAACCATTTCCATGCGCCTATATCTCCGGATAATTAGCCAGGCGATCTGAAACGAAAATGATAACAAGACCTCCAATGACATTGATTCAAGGACAATCACAATGGGAATAACGCGGTATACATCGTAGATCGCAAATTACAATGATAGCAATCAGAAGTTAGCCAGTTTATTTCATATTCCTCTGCAAGATTGCAGGCAAACCTGATTAAGAGGATAGTGTGAAATTTCGGACATACATACATTCACATACATACACATACATACATATATAGTTTAAAGCCACCGGACGGAAATGAGGGCTGATTTAGCATAAATTCTCTTCATGCGTGAAAAGCAAAAAAATATATCGTTTAGAAAATCAAACGGACTGCCGAAGTCTCCTTAATACCACCGGGTCACCCATCCAAAACTGTCAGCCTTATTGTCAACAGATCTGTTAAAACTTACGTATTCGGAATCTAAAATCCAGTCATACGAGTATTCATCCGCTAGACAAACATCGATTTCCTTGTCATAACAAAAAATACCCCAGGATTGTTCATCTTCGTTGGCTGATGTTGTCACGTAGACTGCAGGTTTAGGGGTTCACACAACAGATGGTATAGATCAATATCAAGCGTGTGTGAAATATTGAGGTAAATTATCGACAAACGGATCCTGTGACTCACAGAAATAATGGAGAAGCAAGGCCTCTAGAACTAACACACTATTCAGAAAGTCGCTGACATTTTATATACAGAACAGAATGGCTTCTGTTCTTCTTGCGGCGAATCAGGCAGACGCAGTACTTGATTTTCTCGAAAACTTAATCAAGGCTTGCCGAACACTCATGAACGAGATATTTATCTGGGTTTGGTTGGGTCGGCCCGTCAAAATCACATAAGTGTGTGAACGTATAATCCGTTTTCTTCGGTAAAACTCCCTGAAAAATAGACCACTGACGAGAACGGCCAAAGGTAGTCACGGCACAATCATTAGGCCTGTAGTTTAATGGGTTGAAGTGTACTTTAAATAAAAGACCCACGATCCATTTATAATTTACAATGAAGTTATCCACTTGGAATTGGTGGTTGCTGCAAAGGGAAACGAAAATCTCACAGGGGTTACAAGGGTTACACAATGATTTCATCCACCCATATAAAACTGGTTCAGCATCACAGGATCCATGCAAGAATCAGCCAGAAATTTACGCTACTTAATTCCCATATTTGAAGGAAGAACATCTTTAAACATAGAGCCAGAGTAGCAAGCCTCCACATACAGCACCAAATTGTTGAACATTTTTTGAATACATGTAGGCGAGGGTATCGTTCAACTCCATGGCATACATCTGTCGCAGGACCAGAAGGAAATTCTCATGAGCTCGAGATGAGTCACCCGATGAGTCAGTCACCAATGATGCGGATCCCTTGATTGAAGAATGGGTGGCGTTATGTTCTGACTTAGTGCGGATAAATCAGGCTGTTTGTTTGTCGCTCGTGGCCGAACGGTTACACGCTGCATCTGTCAAGTGCACCACTGATGATTCCCAATAAGGATGGAACAGTTGTATATTGCTTCTCGGCTTTTCATCGCCGACTGGTTCCTCATACATAAATACAGAATCTTCATACTAATAAAGATTCGTGCTGTCACTCTAGAGGCGAAAAGCAGTCTGTTGCCTTATCATAAAGAATTCGGCTGACGACTTCTTTGCATCATCCACGCATCGTGAGTAATTGTATACGACCAGCTTCTTGTTTCTGGTACCTACGTTTGCTCAGCAATCTGAATGGATCAACCGCGAAATCGTGTGAATCGAACAACGTGAATTTATTAAAACGCAATCTATGTGACGGTGTTATTTCAAGCATCTTGATGAAGCCTTTTAAGCTTGATTTCCGTGGGATGTCACTCTTAAGAGTGACGTACGAACATCGTAGCTTGTGTTCCATTTTTCGGTTGATGTGTAAAACTTCTTGTATATAGGATCCATTTTATAAATAATTACTGATGTCACCGGACCAACATGTTTACGTAAGCGTTTTCAATCCGTTCACTATTTAGCTTCCAATTAAAGACTGCGTACAACAATCTTGGTTAGCAAAATTAACTAAACTTACATATTCCTCTTGGAAGGCAATCACGGAAGTGGCACCATGGCCAGAGAAGAAGATGAACACGTTGTCATTAGGACCGCTGTTGGTGGGCAGAAAGGTTAAGGTGGTCTTGAAGAGTAGCCTCTTTGCTGGCGCTTTCACAGACAGGGAAGCACAACAAAAACCCGCGGAAATGGAAGCATGGAAAACACGTAGTTCAGAATATACTTTTGTACACACTGCTTGATATAATCAGTAGCTAAATTAACTTCGACTTTTCTACTATTTGCATGCCCACGTGAATATTGAGATGGAAATCTGATTTTCTGGACGTCTGTTCGTTAAAATCCTATAGCTTTCAACGCATAAAATGGTTGAAAGCAATTTTACACTTCAGCTAATTTTGTTATGTGGCCTTCGGAAAAGTCATACTCAGCTGTTTCGAAAAGTCGCTCTAATTAGCATGATTATATCTTTTTAATGAAATATTTACATAATATATACACTACTGAGGAAGAATATTATGACGAACCTGATGCGCTCCTACATTTTTAACACGGATATCCCAGAAGCCATATGTTTTTATCCAAACCTGATCTTGTATTGTTACGTTTGTTGGTCGTTGATCGGAATGGTGTTCATCTGTTCTCTGCTCGTAGTGATCAGATTGCGAGTGTTTCATCACCGACCGAAGTTAGGTCATGAGTGAATGGTTCGGTTGGAAATTACTACATTCAAATCTGACATTAATCGAATCATACACTTCTCGGGGTCCAAATGATCGATTCCGAACTGTGCTGTGTTGCGGCTGGCATCACTTGAATTCAATTGGTGCTTTAAGTAATTTCTGTCTGAAGACCTCGGCTCATGGACTGATTGACCGGTTGCCGATTTCTAATGTGGTGTATTCTGGCTTTCCACATTCGTTTGGCTTTCAATCCGTCTTATGGTTTCGGTAGTATGATATGATTGTTTGGTTCTGAATGAATGTTGTGTTTTAGCCCAGTTTTTCGCAGTTTGCTTCGATGAATGCTCTCCCAGTTAATTAAACTGGTTTATTGTTCAGATAAGTTTATCACATTTGATCACCTATTGTATCGACGATCTCCCTTCCCTACTCTATCCTAACTAATTACAGGCGGAATGCAAAAAATGAGGTTACTCAACTTAGTTTCGGAAAAGTTTTTAAACAACTTTCTGTTCATTTACTTATTGGAACGAACCTGGTTAAATTAGAAAAGCAAACCGGCTGGCGCAAAAATTGACGGAAAAAGATAACGTCGAGCTCACATAAGATATATTTTTGTACAAAGTTAGCCTAATTTCAAAATACAAACGATTAGACTCACAAAGTGTCAAGTAACAAAAAATATATCTTTTGAATATCCCAGCGAAATACTCTGTCTGAAAATATAGTATCGCAGGAAACTATCTTGCTAAAACAGAATATATTTCGACGACATGCAGCGCAAACTTCATACTCTAGGCGACAGTAAATAAAGTGCTTCAGATCTATTGCCACTTGACGGGTGGGTTCAGAAATGAGTGTTTGTCAAACTGAGTGCTGTGGAAGGGTGAATGCGGGAACTCCCCACTGCAAGGGAGGGACAGAAACGGAGAACCGACGAATGTTGCCACTTGTGGGTTCAGAAATGAGTGTTTGTCAAACTCAGTGCTGTGGAAGGGTGAATGCGGGAACTCCCCACTGCAAGGGAGGGACAGGACAGGAGAACCGACGAATGACCCAACAGTGGTATCTGAGGCTTACAGAGAACTCTATGCGTGTCTATACTCAGCCCCAGCGTCCTCGTCACATCCACTCTTGTCAAGGAGAAACTACGAACAGCCTCTAACCGACTTGGTCTTCACGGTGGAGGACATTCGTCAACTCTTGCACAAGATCAACCCATTCTGC